TCCCCTATGAGTGTCGCAAAACGAAGACCGAAGATAAGACCCGAAAAACGAAGACCTCCAATTTTTTTCTCAATTATGTTATTGAAAGTATTTCAAAATCATCATAAAACAGTTGCCAAGTACCTAGGCTTATTTCATTATTTCATCTACACCAGGCTGTCACAAAATCATATAGGCCTAAGAGATATTTTTCGTTTTGTAGTCAACCATGAGTCTATAAAACGAAGATCCTTGATAATTTCACAAACAAAAGTTCAAACAACCTCGTAATTATGATTTTGTGACAGCCTGGTGTAGTATTGTTATCATTAAAAAAAAGAGAGAAAAAATGTCGGTCTTCGTTTTGTAGACACCCATATTGGTTTTCTATAAATCGAAGACCCTGAAAATTTCAGACAGACGCCCAAAAAAATTCGTAATTTTGATTTTGTGGCAGCCTGTTGTATTATCATCAAAATAAAAGAGAAAAAATAGGGGTCTTCGATTTTTGGTCTTCGGTCTTCGCTTTACAGATACCCCATGGCTTAAATGGCATATCTAATAAATATTAGTGAGTTTATAATGATCTCCGATACAGTAGTTATTGAAACATGGAGGTAGAATTTTATGATTATGAATGTTAGTTATACAGTAGTAAAATTCATTACACATTGAAAAAGAAACAAAATTTACTCAAACTTTAGGATAAGCTAAGTTTTGCCGGTGTTTGCCTAAGACCGTAAGATTTGATAGGAATGCATAAGACTTACGGCGAATGCGTACGGGTAACAGGGGTCTGGTAGTGTATAGTTAGGCCACTGGCCTAGAATGTTCGTTTGAGACATACTGCAGTACAGGTCTCCCTCCAATTTCTGGGACCACCGGGGTGTTCATGGCCTGTAGCAGATTTGGTCTTTAATTAGGAAAAATATGTTTATAAAAATAAAAGAAAAACATTTATTTTAGGCAGCAGAAAAACAGTATTTAATTGGAGGGGTCTTCGAGAGAGTATCCGACTAGTTTGCCGAATCCCAGACTGCCGCGCGTCCATTGCCAAAACCTAATTTAACTTAAACTAATAGTAAACTAAAACCAAATATTTGGTAATTTTTTTGGTACATTTGCATTTGTTTTGGTTTTTCTTCTATGTTGTTGTTAAGCGCCTCGAGGTTGTGTCAACGTGAGGCCCGGGTATAAATCCTGAATTATTATTATTATTAATTTGCCGAAAGCCATTCTGGGATTCGGCAAACTGGGTTTCGGGAATCTGGCCTAGACCTGTACAGTATTTATAATTTTATAGTTAATTTTCCCGTATAGAAGCTGTGTGGTTCATACTACTTTTGTTGATCTATGCCAATGCTTTATGTTATCATCTTCCAAAGGGTCACTGTGTGACCCCTATGCTGTGAACACAATACTGTACTGTAGTATTATAGGTAGCTTTCGATTTGTGCAACGCGACGCTAGAACGGAATCACTCATGTGTGACCGTCCTACCATGACGTTCTACGAGTTGACCTTAACGTTCTCGCATGCGCAGATGACTTTAGTGACGTCATTACGTTCCTTGTCCTACCGTCGTCATGCAATCGAAAGCTCCCTACTACTGCGGAATCGTTTGCAGCCGCGTTTGTCACTTTTAGCGTTTTGAAATGTCTCCAGTAAGAATGACCAGGGAAAAGTGAATGTTCCCGGAATGACCTTTGACCCCAAATCCGTGGTTTACATCAATGAAATCGACCCAATCGTTTGCCACTAGTACAGTAGTATTATTCCACTGAATTTATTACAGTATCATTTTTTTTTTTGCATAAACTTGAAAGCAGTGAATGCCTCCTTGGTGGCAGACCCTTGCGGAGGATACGTCATACTGCATGTATCAGTAGGGAGCTTTCGATTTGTGTGACAACGCGACGCTAGAATAGAATCACTCATGCGTGACCGTCCTATCTGGCATCCTACAATCTCTGCATTTGGCCAAATTGCGTTCCCAAAATCTACTCGACAATGTGACCCTAACGTTCTCGCATGCGCAGATGACTTTTAGTGACGTCATTACGTTCTACGTTCAATCGAAAGCTCCAACTTAAACCAGAAAAACTTTTGTTGCGCCATGTATTTTAGCCTACAAAAAACCCCAAATTCGTATTGAAAAATTTAATCTCCTTCCACTAAAATCCACTCAAAATCTTGATTCATGTGTTTCATAGTTTTTATTCAGTTTTTATTTTCGACTGACAGTCTCTCTCGCCTCTATGACATGATACAAGGCAAATTCAATTGGGTACATTAGGAACACTTGAATATTATGACACTTATAATCGATATTCAGGACAACTTCCATAAAGTAGTATCCAAATGATTTTCCATTCCCTTAAAATAACACAAATAGCTAACAAATAAAATCAATACACAAAACCTTTTCATTCACTTCATTTGGCAGTGATAACTAATTTAGTCTTGAAATTACACTTCTCTTCTCTCTTACTGGAATGATAGGTATTCTCCATTCATAAATAACCATCACCTCTTGTGAATCCTTCACTTCCCATCTATTTTAAAGATTCTCTTATGTAAAATAATTTTGATCTTTAGAGTACACCAACAATTAATAGGTAGTTCTCGCCGCATGACTTTAACCTTAACAGATGACGTCATAATTTATTCATCTTGCATTGCGGAGTGTACGTTACTTTCAGGAATTTACATGTTTGATGTATGTTAGTTACGGGTTTCCGCATGCGTATTTCGATTTGTTTACAAAAGGGACAGATCTATCGCGTTGCATAATATTGGGTACTAAGGTTAAGGTTAACGTCGTGCAGCGAAAACTACCTATTAGTAATGATTACTATAATCTTCAACAATCTGCATCTCAAGTCATCTATACCAACATTCCTATTAACCAACATTTGTCAAGCTATTTTCATTCATTTAAATCAATGTGATGTACTGTAATCGAACGCCAACAATTATCAAATTTGGACTTGGAAAGTAAGTATGCATGAGCAGTAACGATACAATTTCTATTGAAGGTTTGAAACGTAGGTACAGGTAACTGGCAATGGCAATGATAATCACAAATGAGTGTTGTGTGTCGAATGCACGTTATACATGTATACACATAAGCACTGACACAAACAGAATCACACAAATAAAACAAACTGCAAATGTACACACATTACATAATGCAGATTAAGGCATCACTCTTTTGTGCAACGCGGTAGGTTATAAACTGAGAAATAGCCTCCCAACATCATTAACAAAATATGAAAATAAGGTAAAATATATTTTATCAATTTATTAATATTGAGATATTTTATCGTACGTAAGTGTACGCAATGAAAAAAGTATTTGTGATAAATAATGTTTTGTGGAAACTAACAATAATTTTGCACAGATGACACCATATTGCAGTTTTAGAAACAGTACTTCTATATCACTACCAATAGCACTCTATTCACTTGAGTAATCAAAACTTATAATTCACGAATTTAAATAATTATAATACAACAGCTTCTGGCTGGGTCAAGGGTATGACTACAAGGCAATGAATACAGCCTGGGAACAATGCAGGATCAACAAATAATATCAACATCCACATTCACAGTACAGTATTCTTGCATAACCATGGTTAAACAGTGATCCCTACTGTACAGGTTGGTAGTCAGTTATCTATGCAAGTCTTACAATATGATATTTATGGATGCTGAAATTCTCTGGTGACCTTCATTGTCAGTTTGTGCAGGGTGCTACATGACAAGTCCTATATTTTAAGTACCCTGTTTGAGCAAACAATACCAGTAACACTGGTATCAGGATGGACGAACAAGGCAAGAAAATAAAGACTTTCAACACCAATGACAGCAGATACACCAATATGTGAGGAAAGTGCTACTGGAAGAAATATGCCTCATCATCTGGAAATACTGAATCTGGCACAAGCTGATCCTGACATTTTCTTGAACTTGTTGATGGTGAGACTGGGGTGCTAGGGTTTTTAAACCATGGGTGATCTAAAATCTCAGACGCTGTCAATCTCTGTGATGGCTCAACTCGCAGCATGCTGCGAATTAAGCATTTCGCTTGAGATGAGACACTGTCTGGAAGAGTGTACTTGCCACGACGGATCTTCTCAAAAAGAGCAGAAGGGTTAGAGTCATGGAAAGGGTAGCGCCCTACAAGCATTGTGTATAGCATTACACCAAGACTCCAAACATCAGCACAACGACCCGAATAAGTAGTACTTGTAGTGAGTATCTCAGGGCTGACATAGGCTGGACATCCATGCTTGTCGCTAATAGCATCCACTTCAACATTTTCCAACAAGTATGCATCATCAAGTCGATCCAACTTTAACCGGGTTCTAAAAAAAAGTGAAATTTTGAAAAAATAAAGAGTGATAAAAATCATTGTTTTAATAAAACTGACAAAAGAAAAAAAAGGAACTTTACAATGTTACATTCTTTCAATATGGAAAAAATGTTGAAAATATTGCACAATAAGCAGATTGTTGTTTGTGCAACTGTTGTTGCATTGTCAAATTATTATATTTTGATTTTCCTGTCCCTCACACTGTTTAATAAACAATATGTAATTTCATCAAACCAGTTTGCTTTACGATTTGAGTATTTTGTATTGTTGTACATTTTTAGGAAATTATAGCCACTACTATTAATAGTTAAATTGCTCATCGGCCAACCATTGTACAGAAAAAAGTGAAGTTACCTACGTCATGCTGGGGAGCCCAAGTGACATACCATTCAGACCAAAAAGTTTCTTTTGGCATTTATGATTTGTTTAAATTACTTTTCAAAATATCGTTTCTTGCAATATTTTTTAATAATAAATTTTAACTTAACAGAATGATTTTTCACATCATCTAACCACTCAACACGCAATTTACAAAAGTGCAAGTGAATCGCATTGTCTGCGATCATCAAGCCAGTTCAAAAGTCTTGCATTGTGATTACGTACTGTATTTGTGTTGTTTTGGGATACCCAACATGGCGTTAGTGGCTTCACTAAAACCAGCCAATGAACAATCCAGCTACAATAGTAGAGATCAGTGGGTATAGCCAACATTAAATATTGGATATAGCCCACCCCCTACCCATATCAAATTTATTTTCCTCTATAATTTTATTAAGTCAAATATTTAAATAAATATGATCAAATATTTTTTATCGAGTAGTTAGATGACAATAACTATAAACATAACAATTTCAGTACTGTAAACAAAATATAAATTCTGATGATAGTGAAAAGGGAAAAAATCTAATGTTGTTATCGCTCAACTGCAATGAGGAAGTCAATAAACTAGATCAGATTTCATATGGTGCTGTGATCAGGTGATACAATGAACGCTTGGCATGATGCAATAACTGAAAGAACTGGGGTGATTGTGGAAGAATGCATTGTTACTACAGGGAAGGCAACCATGCATTCAAAAGCACACCAACAACTGATTTTCACACGTTTGTGATCTTAAGGAATTGTACCCTATTATTTTACAATCATTTCTTTTTTCTTTTTATTTAAATAAATGAATTTTTTTAGGGGTTAAATTTACAGGTTGACTGTAAATATACTAATACAATTCTAATACCTGTGTGTTTTGTTTTTTATCACCAGGAAGTGGATTCTAAAATACATGTGGTAGGGCCTAGTGTTTCCTTGGAAAAAAAACAGATCAAACAGATCAAACATATGAAACATACGGTTACTGTACATTATACAGGTAGTGTGGCTCTGTGAGTCATCTTAGTTTCCTTTGAACTTTCTGAATTTAATAAAAACTATGTGATCAACATGATCAAGTTGATAACAGGAAATAACACGAAGAAACAGGAATACCTCTGGAAATAGCTTTCCCAATTCCCCATTCAAATATTTATTAATAAGTTCCTATCAAACTGATTGATTCAATATCAAAGATCACTTAAACGTAAAAAAATAAATCCCTACTAAATAAATGGATTCAACCAGCCCGCTGAGGATGTTGGCATTCTTGCGACATAAGCATTGCGCAATAACAAAATCTTTACAGTTACAGTTCAGGATACAGTAATAGTAAATGCTACTGTATGACAATGTTGACATAGGATAGTGTGTTGTCGTTCATAGACAATCTTGCATTAATGTTAGAAACAGAAATCCCGTCAATAAAAAGTTTAAAAAAAGATAATTTTTTTTTTCTTCAAATTGAATGCTCCACCATTGTGCATTGCATGTGATAATATAGGTAAAAAACTTCAATTTTTAGAAACACAGTACTTAAGACTTACTGACATTTTGATGAATTTTACTTTGTGTGAAGAAAGCTGAATAATTACCTTTGGTTATCACGAAACACAAACTTTCGCAGTTTTAAATCTCGTAGTACAACACCTGAACTGTGACAGTGCATTACGGCTGCAACAATCTGCTTAAACAAACCCTTTGCTTCATCCTCTGACAGTTTACGATTGCTACGGATATGTGAGTGCATATCTCCATGATCACGTTCAAAAAATGCATAAGCATATGAATCGCCTAGTAATATTTCAAGCACCTGGTTAATATTTTCATGGTAGCCCACCTGGATATTTGCTTTTAATACTTCTTGATACTTTCGGATATCTATAGCCTGAGGGAAAGTAAAGGAAATAACAAATCTCATTAAATTCTAAAGAGAACAGAATGGTGTTGACAAAAATATTATATTAAAATACAAATTTAATATAACATTACGTAGTAACTATTAATAGAGTAAAAATCTCATTAAATTTAAAACAACAGAAATGTTTACAAATTATATATTATATTAAAATACTAAATGAATATTACTTTACGTAGTAACTAACAGAGTAAAGCTGGGAACTGTCTGCGTCTAACAATGGTCGTGCGACCATCGGCCGACAAATCAAACGCCGCTCCCCTTAAGCGCTTAGCGATGCGACGCTAATTCAACATAGAATAATCTATATATTAGCTTGAAAAGGGCTTTAAGGAAAATATAAAGTTTGATGTTAGAGTTCATGAGTGGAGATTATCCAAAAAGGCTTCAATCATTTAGGACTACAGTACTTCTTTAAATTATAATTTGTTGTAACATGGTACCAGCAACATACAAACAATTATTCAGATGACAACATTTTTTCAAACAGTGTGTGATAGTGATACAAAATTTAAAAATGTATTAATGTCATTTACCAGTATTACAATTGTTTATAATGTATGTTTTTGAATACTTTGATGAAATAAATAAAACGTACCTTGCAGATAAGTTCTTCTAAAGTTATACTGTTCACAGCTTTGAATATTTTGCTATCAACCTCCTCCACCAGAAGGTAGTTTCCAACTTTAGAAATCACATTTGGCTGCTGCGGTGTAAAATCCGGTGGTGTTGGCGCAGATAGGTTCGGACTAAGGGAATTTGTGAAATCACCTGGTGAGTCTACAACATGACTGTAACCTTTGTTACGATCATTTTGGATTGCAATTGGCTTGGACCTTTGCACACTCATTTGGAAATAAATTTTTGTTCAGTAATAAAATAAGTTCTACTGAGACAAGCCTTTGTTTCAATTTAAATGGCTTTAGGATTATCATAAAATCCAATATATAAATCAGCTGCAATGTGAATTTCAAGATTTACAGTAAGCACTCTGCTGACCTAAAAAGGCCCACTGTATGTACGCTTTGAAAGAAAATATAGCAATACAACAAACGATGACAACACTGTGATAAAGTCTGCCTGATCGAGGCTAGTAGAAGCCTAGGTAGTCTAGGATAAATAAATTTGATATATCTCAACGAGGAAAACAATTAGAATGCTTTGTTTTCGAAGTATGATGTAGTCTTTGGTATAAAAAAAAATTATGTACAAAAAAGCTATTCAGTCCCTGAGAATGAGCAACATTAATCGTTCACTATTATAACAATAACTATATATATAATAGACGTTTGCTCTGATGATGTTCAAATTATTTACACTGAGTCTTCACAAATGATACATTTAAAGAAAATCCACTGGTTTTATATTTGACTGACGAAAACCTCTCCTCTCACGCCCTGTCTGTGTGTGTGAAGTCAGTTGATGTTGTTGGGCGGTTTAGCGGCACTAGTTGTTCAAGGTGGTGTGGACTGCAGAATCCAAGCTTACTTACATTTGATATTATTTTGCTTCTGGATAGATTTTGTCGCGTCTTCTTGAATTGCCGTTGATGTTACTAACAATATCCACCTATCTGCCGGCCAAAAAGGGACGGCTTGACCGTCAGTCTTCCTCGCTTACTGGCGAGAATTTTCAGTTTCGCAACGATTGCAAGCCATTTTGCAACGTGAATGTGTCATGAATGAGAACAACCGTCTTTGATGATGTTAACTACAATAATCTGTTTACCTGAATCAATGCGCGCCAGGTTATAGTATTTCGCAATATCCTTCTTTTTGCTTATAAATCAGCTATATGTTTGTCATCTATAAATCACAATTTGATATTAAACATAAATTACAATATATTATTAAATTATTTCACATTTATATTATCTTTAAGCCTGCTTTAAGTACAGAAACATGTATAATCGAAAAGAACTATGTTTTATGTCAAGGTTGTGAAAAGGCTAGACACAACAAAATGAATTGCACGGAATATTTTCGGGATGTTGCAATCGTGCATGATGACGTACAAAGAGTGAAGGCTGGTCTTGCGTTGTCACCATATATGGATATTAAAATACCATATTTAGATCGCTTGTAAAGGCATTGCGTCCAATCGTCATTCAGATTATTCTATGCGGATATCGTACGGTTTTCTATTGTTTACTTTTTTATGTCCGACATGAATCATTCACGTGACGTCAATACTATAAGTTCATTGGAATCGTAACACACAACACCAATTCTTCACAACAGATAAGATTAGTAGAGGAAGACAGGGTTTTACTCATTTTGTTTATGTTATGGATATGGTTTTTCACTGTATTCTAGTGTATATAATTTTAACAACAAAAATATAGGTTTATATTTTTTTTCCGCAGGCACTAAACTAAGCATCTTACTTATTTCTGTTTAATTTGTTTCCAAATTGACAAAGAAAAATGTAAACTAACAAGAACCATACATTTGCAAGCAAATTTATGCGAGGCCACTCACAAAACTTATAATTAGGCCAAATAAAAAAAAATCATGTGTTAGCCACGCCCGACCGACCCAAATTTTAGTCGGCATTCTATTTCAGTTTGGTTGTTGCTTTTTTTTTTTTTTTTTTTACTACAACGAACAGATTTTTTCATGAGCTAATAAGGCTGGAATAGCCTTGGCCGGGCTAGGGGGAAAAGGCCTAGTTTCCTACCGACTTACCTATTTTTTTCCCCCAAAAACGTGGCCAACACATGTTTTTTTTTTTTGGCCTTACAATAGGCCTACGAATTACAGCAATGTAGCTTCAGCCGATCTGGAAGAATTTATCACACCAAATAAACAAAACAAATATTCTAGACATAGAAACTTCTTTCTTTCCCTATGCAATTCCGATTGGCAAATGCTAAACTCGGTTACCATAGATTCGCTTACCCTATCGGCGAGACAGTCTCCGATATTGTCGTAACCAGAGGGATCCGTGCAGTGGATCTCTCT